CACCCCATCTCCTTAATTTGCTTGGTGACTTTAAAAGGAGAAAAAAAAACTTCCAAAAAAATAATCAAAACACAAGTCTTAAAAACGAAAGTTTGTATGTAACGGCATGCAAATAATATAAGAATTAATTTAACGATGTTGACAAGAAAAAGCCGAATGCACTATATACAGTAATCGATTGGATTAAATAATGCTGTTTTTTTTTGTTTTATAGAGATTTAAAATTATCTATGCTGTTTAAAAAAAAATATTGGAGGAAAAAGAAATAACTCTCTCTCTCTCTCTCTCTCCAAGACGATTTGAAAGGCAATAGAGTAATATATGAACTGCAATCCGTTGGCTGCTATATAATATAATGAATACTATGCACCAGAATTATTTATTAAATTCCGAGAAAGCAAAAGGATGGTTTGAACCATGATTTATAAAATGCACATTTTATTTATTGCAAAAACAAAACAAAAAAAAAGAAGCAAGAGTAATCTTGCAATGTACACTTTGGGTGAAGACTTAATATTGTAGAGCTGGGTTTTGTGCTGTTTATTTACGAAAAAAATTCTTAAAGGAATAAGGATGTTAAAACATAGGGGTGTTTCTTAAACTAAAACCCAGCACAATTTGTGAAATTTTTGGAAACTGGTGCATTTTTAGGTGCAAAGGCATTTTAAATGACCTTTCGATTTTCTGTGTTTTTTTAACACTGTTGCATCCAGAGAAAAACCGATTTCATCTAGAGCTTTCAATACAGTGCTTAATTTTTTTTAAATTTTATTTTCACATCCTGCTCTTGAGCCATTTCAGGCTGTTACAACCTCAAACCAACTTTAATATTTATATATATATAGATATATTTTTTTGTTTGTCATGAATTGTTTCTCTTTGTGTTCAGGCATCAGTGAAAGACTCCTTTTAGCTTTCATTTGCTACAAAACGAAAAATAAATCTCTTTAGACAGATCTTCCTTTTTTTTGACTTTTTAGTTCATTTGTTTCCCCCAGGCATTTGGGGAAAACAATTCTGCACATTCCTGATTCCTTGCTTGACTGTTTGGGGTGAGAGTAACAGGAATTAATACCCCTTTCTTAATTTCTTCACTTCTTGGTGCAAGAAAATCAAGTGTGTCTCTTATTAAAAGCAGCAAATGTGCAAATCCAAGAATCTAGGGGACTGTTGTAACTTTGTGTCGGCAGATAATAGATGCATTTCAGAGGCTCTCGGGCTTAAAAATTGTTTCATTAATGTAGCGGCCAAAGTAAGTAATTCCTCCTGTGATCATTTCTTATTTCCATTTCAGGCATGAGATTTCCTTTTTCTTTCACTTGTTCTTTGCAGTACAGTGTTTACTTTGTTAAGGCAAGCGTGGTTTTTCTAATATAACTTCTGAGATTTTTCACAACTTGGGGTGGGGGGAAGGGGGAAATTGTAATGCTGTTTTTTTATGAAATGCTTTCGTTGAACAGTTAAAGCAAACCACACAAATTTCATAAGGTGTCTGACAATGTAGGATCCTGGAGTTTTAAACTGGTGGGATATTATAGATTTATAAAAGTTTTTTAAAAAAATTTAAAATTGTACAGTAATGTATGTTTTATAGGCTTGCAGCATAATGTAGTATACAAATTGCATTGCTTATTGAGTATTGGAGTTGCGCAGTTTGGTCCCCCCCCTTCTTAATTTTTGGGAGGAAGTCATTTATGCTGGATTTAGATAGATAGATAGATAGATAACACTTTGTCCTAGCAGCCTACTGGGAAAAAACTTCCTTTAAAAAAAGTGTTTTAAATAGCTTTCCTGGCAGTCTGGTTTTATAACCAAAATCCAGTTGATTTGCCTCTTATTTTAAACAGGTCTATTATGTTACCACTTCATTTTCTCATCACGGGGGTCCTTCTTTGCTTTTAAGCCCATCCCCATAGACCTTTCCTAGAAAGACAGAGAGAGAGAGAGGAATTAAAAAGCCCTTCTTGCCAGTCCCATATTTAAGAACAGGAACTCAGCCGGAAAGTTAGAAAGGGGGGTAAGAGTTGCAAACAGATGAACCTTTTCATTTTATTGCTTTCGTCACTGAGATGAACCTTTTCATTCTATTGCTTTTGCTGAGCGAGAAAAAAGATTTTCATATACAGAAGATTTTTTAAAATGAGATTTTTTAAAAAAAATGTAGTAGCCTTACAAGGGTTATAATTCCCACCCACCCACCGAAACTCCTGCGACGCAAGCCCTCTGGAAGTTAATGGGAGCTACATTGCTGTGAGTGGGCTTAAAAAACCAGGGCTTTGAGTAGTGGGATCCTAGAGGGATTTCCTGTGGTTGTGGTTCTGCAATCGACTGTGCCCGAGTGGTCCTAATCCGGAGGCACGATGCTAATTCTCCTGGGGGGGGGTGAGGTTGGGACTCGGCAGCATTTCTCCCCCCCCCCACAACAGTTTGAAATGGCTTCTTTGAGCATGCCCCAAATAATAACAAAAATTAAAATGAAAAAGGGATGGAGGAATGAAATGTCCCTGTTATTTGGCCCAGCCAGAATGACCGCAGTAGGGGAGCGAGCTGGAAACTTCTAGGCTGCTAAATGGGGAAACATTGAGTTCTTCAAACTGCTTTCCTTGAGCCAGAGTTTCCACAAGTTCTGCACTGGTTTGTCCCATCGTCTTTGAAGTACTGCTTGGAAGAGAACAGGGCCTCTCCCTGTAGAAATGGCCTCTTCCCCCGAAGGTTCCTTTTCCCTTGTGTGAGTCATTCTGTCTGCTGACCGGGATCCCAGCATATCTCTCTCCCGTTCCTGCTCTTTCTGCCTTAATTTTGCGAACTCTTCCTCAGAGTTCCGTTCGCAAGCAGCTTGGTGGGCATGGGTGGAAAGCTGGGCTCGAAAATGGCTCTGGAATGTTCTATGGGAAGCTCAGAATATCCAGCCGCCAGGTCTCCAAAGAACATCAGGGTATTGTGTCGGCTGAGTTCTATGTTCTTTCCGAAGCTCGTGAAAACAGTCACAGGTTTCTGTGGGGTTAGGGCTTGCCGGTTCATTTTTATGGAGCAAGGTGTATCAGAACTTCTTTTCCAGATATCTGAGGAAGGGCCCTCGAACCCCCGAAAGCTTATACGCCGAAAATTCGCTCAAGATGCTACCGGACTCGAATCTTTCTTCTCCAGGTAGTTACCGAATCCCACTTTACATTTGATCTGCCTTTGTGAGTGCTTTGCACGTTTGCTTATTTTTTCTGTGTGCCCCCCCCCCCCGTGCTGCTAAAAACCTCCAGCATTCCTTCAAGTAACAGAGTGACGTTGTCAGTAATGTTGGTGCTGGTCTTTGCGAGGTCTTCTCTTAGTAAGCAAAAGTGAAGAGGCTTCTTTGAGGGCCTGCAGGGTGGCTTCGGAGGCATCGGACCTCTATTGTGGAGGCGACTCTGGATGAGCAAGTGTATTTCGAGATTAGCGTAGGATACGTCTGAAACTGGATGATATTGATCAGACCGAATGAGTAGGGAGGGGCTACCCTGATTATTTCGGAGAGGAGATCTGGCCCTTCCTTCTGGAACCATTTAAGACTTCTTTTCTGTCCGTTGGAACGGTTTTCTTGTGTGCCCCCTGCCCTGTTTCTGAACCCGAACCCCATTTCAGCCTTTCTCCTGCCCCGTTGCCCGTGAGAAGGTACCTTCAGGACGTCGCTGGCCTCGTTCCCTCCCGCCACGCTGTCTCCAGGAGTTGGTCTAAACCCAAGCAGCTATTTGCTTGCGTGCCATGCCATTATTTCTTCCCCCACCCAACCTCTCTGTTTCCCCACCTCCATGCATTTCGAGACAGCCGCACCAGACTGATGCATCTATGGCGATGCCAAAACAAGGCCCCAGGGCTGGCTTGGAGCGTCGAACCATTTCCACTCACGGCCACAGCAACCAAAGAATTTGCCAGGGCAGAGAAGTCCTTGTGTTGCTGTGATCGGAGGGTTTTGGCATTGGGCTGCTGTGTACAAAAGCAAACAGTTTCTCAAAGACGCAGTCCGGAAAGCTGCAGAGTTGTTTTTCTGTGTCCGCAGAATCATCTCTTGCAGGGCAGCGTTTGTTAGGGCACCGTCTGGCTTCTGGGTCCCTACCCAGATTCCTAATTTGGGG